GATGGCTGTCGCTGTTTGATTTTGGTTTCGCATACCTACACTCTGTTTCTGTCTCGTTTCTAGGTGGTCCGTGCCCGTTTATGTATTTATCGTATGTGCATGAACTTTATCGACTCGTGTCAATCACTCGTTAGCTGGTAGGGAAGGGAGGTGAAGCAAGAGGAGGCGATGGAGGACGGGGGAGGGAAAAAAGAACGCACGGGGATGCGAGAGATTGTACGGTTGATGTACACAGAAGTGGTTCAGATACGAGGAGGGTTTTCTTCTCTTTTTTTCTTTGTTTTTTAGAGGGGGGAAGGTTTTTTCTTTCTTTGTTTCACTTGTTTCGCGATGGAAGAAACGAATTTTTTGATTGATTTTTAGATATGTTTCAACGAGAATGTTAAGGGTTGAAGCGGATTTCTGGAAGCTGTATTTCGAGTTTAGAATCGTTTGTTCAATTCCATCTGTAGCGAAGCTTTGGTTAATTTATCTATCCTTGTCTCGGTAGATTTAAAAATTTGAGATTTCTGATAGTTCAAATGTATAATAGATATCCATTGTTATAAACTTTTCGCCAATGTTGCGTATTGAAGAATCTGCGTTGAGATTCTAAGAAACAGGTGGAACAGTGGAAAAGGATAATCCGATAATACAGTGACGTTTGTATGACGTGATTATGTCACCGGTCCCGGCTATAAATCGAAACGGCTGGTGATAGTTTGGGCAATTTCGTGTCGACGTCGCCGGAATTACTGTGAATAAGGAAACACGATAAGAGGCACGGTAATACATCATTGGATCCTGCCGTTTGTCTAATATTATAGGCACCAATCGTAAGGGCTTAATATTGGGGTGAAGGTAAGTGGCGGACCAGCTGACGTCCTGCTCCACCCTGCACGCACGCTGCGACTCGTCTTGAGGGTGTGCGGATGAGATTTAGGGACCGACGACAGAAGTCTGCTGGCGACACTGATTTGTGGTGAGCTTTGTTTCAACACTCTAAATGCTCACGGATGACTAACATTCTTCTGACGTGCTCGTCAATTCGAAACCCGTCTCCCTAACTTAATCTTTCGATAACGACACCGTGAACTTTAACTAAAAATCATCTTGTCACAAGTGACTATTTAATTGCATTTTATTTTAAGGTGATTAGTAAAATTTTTTAATCTGAAAATATTGCGAGAAAGATTTATTCCTTTCGATTTTAATAGCGATATTTTGTGTTGAATAATTGGACGAACGTTGTTCCAAGAATCACGTCTTTCGATAATTCTAAGGAACGATAAGTAATTGTGTGGTTAATAACCTAATGATTCTGCAATTATTTCAAAGAATTATTCTACTTAATATCTTTATTACTTCTTATCTTTCTCCGAAACTTTTGCATAAAACTAGCAAGTCACCGTTTAATAGTTTTAAACAATAATTCTTATCGTTATCGTTATCTTCTATCTCTACTACTTCCCCAGTATCTCTACAAATTTCTATATAAAAGGAACAAATCACTCCTTAATCATTCAAACGGTGTATCTTATCCTCTACCCTTACTACTTCCCTCCTAAACTTCTTTACGAAAATCGACAATTCATTCTCCGGCGAACCTACTTCTCAGCCTTATCTACATATACTCAAGCCGGTCGCGAAATGCTAATTACACACGCAGAGCTCGAAGTTAGAAACAATTACCCGAATGTGGTCGCCTGTCATGATTGCCGCCAAGTATAGCGTTGACGCTGAACTTGAGTTGCGGCTTCTCCTTCTCCTGAATGGTCCTGCATGCGGGTCCTAAGCACTGCTCGTCGCCGCAGGAACAGGCGGTCGTTCTCTCACCTATCCTGTCGACGACACGCTCGACCACCACCTCTCTCTCCCCTTGAATCGTCATTTCGTCGGACATGTGCATGACGTTTCTGCATCCAAGGTCGTACCGCCTGTCCGGCTGTAATCCTGTCGACACGCGTTCGCCACCCAGCGTACCGTCATCCTTTTCCCTCTCACCTTGGAGTCCGCCGTCCATCTCGATGCTCGTCGGATCCTCGTCGACGTTCGAGTTGCACGAATCAACCGCCGAGCTCGATCTAGTCTCGATCCTCTCGTTACAGAGCCTCTCCATCGCGCAGAGACGATCGACGATCACATGCCCGTCGATCCTCTCGTTGTCGATGTCCACGTAAGCGATTTGACTCCTCTCCATGCTCTCCTTCTCCCGTAAAATTTGCATCCGATCGTTCTGACGATCAATCCTCCCCGACGACCCTCTCTGATGGTCCCTGCAGTCGATCATAGGATTCCCTCGATCTGTACCACGTGCACCAGACGATCGTTGATCCAGTTGATCTTGATTCGCACTGGACGGCGATACTTTCTCCCTGGAGAGCCTCAGGTTCGCCTCGCATTCTCGTTCACGCTGTCTCGCCACCAGACTGGCCGCCCAGTTCAAGGTCAAGCTGGTTAGATCGGCACCGGGCGACGCCTTGCTCTGGAGCAAGTTCTCCATTAAAAAGGGCGAGGTCATTGCACTTTGTTGCAGATTCTTCAGCATCGCCGCTGACGAAGGGAACATATCACGACTCCCTGTTTCCCCCCCGGCTGCAACTCCCGCCGATTGGTACCTCTTCTTTACAATTCACGAGATCTACTTGTTCTTCTTATGAATTTCCAAGAAATTCTACGGACGCTGAAGATGTTTGCGATCGGTTCGATCACAAATGTCTCTGAACTGACCTTTCCATTTGCCTCTTCTACATATATTAGACATTGAGAGAAAGTGACGATTAGTACAGCTACGTACACTGGTTACTGTTTCCTTTCGCTCCAAGTACAAACAACTTCGATACTCGTTCCACGATCCTCAAAGTCTACATTACATGTTCGATCGTCGCGTTTACAACGATAGCAACGTAAACGATCTCACTATGTACCGTTCTTCTATCCATCCGTCTAGGATCTCTCAATCGATACACGCGATCACAAAGCGTTACCAGAAGTTGTCTTCACTAAAAACCACAAAACTGGTCGAGCATCTTGGTCCCTGTCACGCGGGACGTTCGCGTAGCGCGCAAGAAAGGCACACGTCCTGAACTGTCACGGTAAAGCGGTCACGTCGAGGAGGAACGTGCGATTTCGGCAGCGGAATGTCAACTGGCGTGCATGCGGAGCCACCGAGACAGACAGAAACGGGGATAGACAGGCAGGGTGCGAGAGAGAGGGTGAGAAGGGGTGCTCAGAGTGTGGCAGCGCAACGTGAGAGCGTGCACAACCCTCGAATGAAAGCCGACAAAGGCATATAGCTAGCTCCCGTGCCCCCTCCCCCGTGCGGAGAACCAGGATTCTCGAAACAGCCCCCTTTAACGTATAGGCAGCGGCTTGTGTGTACATAGAAGATTGGAGGAACAGACGGGAGGACGGAGGGAGGGAAGAAGGAGTGTGTTACTCTGTACCCTTGCCCTCACTCTCTCTCTCTCTCTCTCTCTCTCTCTATCTCTCCACCGTGTTCCACCCCTCCGCTCTACCCAC